AGGGGGATTTTCGAAGAAAAATATAAAATACCCAAACATTGCCTGGGGACTATTTTCGGGGTATTTGTTTGATCTTTTTGGGGTATTTGGGGGTATTTTTTTGTTTTTTTTTTTTCCGTCGACAATCCCCCTGTATGGGGACACGCCCGACATAAACCTAGCACCCTCGTCGCGGTCATCGTCGCGCACGAGCGCATGACCTTTCACCTTGATCACCCGCACCTCGCCCCCCAAGTCCGCCACACGGTCCCACACCCGCTCCCACAGATCAGCGCATGCATGCGTACAGCCTGTGGTCTCCGTGCGACCTCTGCGGAGACTGCATACCACCCAGTCACAGTCAGAGTGGCATTCAAAGGGTCCGAGGCCTACATTGTCAAGGTACATCCTGAGGGCGAAAAGTTCCCCGATCTCAGAACTCTGAATCAGGCCTGGGAAGGGGCCGCAAAGACTGGCCAGGATGTCGAGGCCACTCGAATTCACCCGAACGACTCCTCAACCAGCCCTCCGAATCCTGGGGTCGCTCTGAATTATCGGTTGACACGAACCATCTCCAAAGCAAGGGCCCGCAAACATCCCCGACTCGGGGGCCACGCGCCAGTGCACGAGCAGATCCGACGTGGGACGAGGAAGCCACGGCCGCGGGTCGCCCACCAGGGCGTGGCACCACAGGGGCCAATCGTGATGGTTCTTCGCTCCCTCCAAGAGCGAGCACGGCACGAGATGCATAAGGAGGAGGGGGAGGCGGAAGAGGAGGAGGAGGAGGAGCAGGAGGAGGAGGAGGACCAGTGTAAACCACATAATCATCAACGATGTTGGAAGTAACCCTCCCTCCAAACTCCCTCTTCACAGGCCCCTACAACGGTTCATTTCCATTGAGGGAATTGCCTCGTTGGAAGACGCCCTAGAAAACCCTGAAGCATGCCAAACCATTGTTCTCGGGATTTCAACGCCACGGATCAACCTGACTGCTACGTCTTGACGATCTGGAATCGTACCAGAACGCCGGTTTTGAGACTTCGACACAGCAAATCAACATAAATGTTGCACCCGCATGGTCCTGAATCCTTCCAACACGCCATGTCTGGTACGTTGATCACGGAACTCCGTGAAACGCTTCCAAACTATCTGGTCGAATATGCGCGGCGCTAAGTCGAGAGCCACATTTTGAAAACGGCCCGCCCTCAATCCGTGAAGCTCTTGTAATATTTAAAAAGAATGTGCGCGGCGCAAAGGTGAGAGCCACATGTTAAAAACGACCGCTCTCAATCCGTGAAACTCTTGCAAGTGTTAAAATTGAATGTACGCGGCGCAAAGGCGAGAGCCACATGTTGAAAACCACCTGCCCTCCATCTGTGAAGCTGTTGCCATGTTTAAAGCTTCGAACCATAGATGCTGAGGACATCTCAGGCGAAACGCCTGGCCCGCCCTAAAGCTGGCCTCGGGGTGCGACAGGGAGGTTATTTACAAGTTGATAAGGAAAACGAATGGAGGAGAAGGAGGAGGAGGAGGATGAGGATGAGGATGAGGATGAGGATGAGGATGAGGATGAGGAGGAGGAGGATGAGGAGGAGGAGGAGGAGGAGGAGGAGGAGGAGGAGCTGAGGAGGAGGAGGAGAAGCAAGAGCAGGAGGAGGAGGAGGAGGAGGAGGAGGAGGAGGAGGAGGAGGAGGAGGGATAACAGGGAACAACAGGGATAGCAGCCACGGAAGTGCGGCGTTCATCGTGTTGAACATATTGACGCCCCTCGCTGGGCAAGGAGCCAAGAAGGGCTTCCCAAATGCCAAGGACACTGCCGCAGACACGAAGGAAGCAGTCCGCACATGAGTTCTGCCAAGGCTTTTCACTCATCCAGAGACGAGCCACCATGACCCCGGAGTTTTCCTCGAGGGACACGGTGCAGCATCCACTCTCATCAGACAGACCACATGAGACCAAGAACAACAAGCAATTGTACGGCGCCTCCCCTGTCTTGGGGTGCCTGCCAGCGAGCAGCAGAGCCGGGGACCCCTTGGGCGCACTGTCAAGTCGCTCAGGCCCCGCTGACCCCATTCGGTGCCCCAGGGGGGCGAACCCATCTCCCGAGCCCGACGCAGAGGCCGATCCATGCTGGACGCTCTCGGACCCACCTTCTTCGGCCAGCCGGAACCACCAACATCACAGACAGACTCCGCCGCGAGCGCCATTTGGAGGGCCTCTGGTCTCGCGGCTGGGGTGGCTGCAGCAAAACGACCCCTTGGAGCGAAAGCGAGTCTGGCCCTGGTGGCCTGGAGTGCAGAAGGGTCACGCTGTCGGCCAACACCAGACGTCATCCACCTGACCGTGGAAGCCGTCCTGGCCTGCCTCACACAGCTCCTGCAAACTTGGTGGCCAGATCCAGGGGCCACAGATCGCACAGACTGGAGGGGCGTCTCGCAACCGCCACAATGACGCAGCGAGCCTTTCACTATTGAGTTCACGACTTCGGCCGACGACGCCAACTGCGCCGCGGCCCTCGCACAAAACTTGACCTCCTCCTTCTAACGTTCCATCCGACACGCCGAATTGCCTGCAATTGCGGCGCTCCGAGCTTAGCAAAATAGTCCGTCGCGAGTTCCCAGTCCACCACCCCGGTGGCTTCTCCGGATGCTGCAGCCCGACTTGATGCAGCCCCAGCTGGGCAGGAACCGCGTCGAAAGCAGGCGGGCCCCGCGACCCAACCGTCTGGAACATTCTCCGCCAGATCGACGCGTGAATTCCCAGTCCACCACCCCGGTGGCTTCTCCGGATGCTGCAGCCCGACTTGATGCAGCCCCAGCTGGGCAGGAGCCGCGTCGGAAAAGCAGGCGGGCCCCGCGACCCAACCTCCTGGAACACCCTCCGCCAGATCGACGCGTGGGCCCCCCCCCCCCCCTGGGCCGCCCTTAAGCAGTCGGGCGCGAACGAGCACACCTTGGGGATATGAGCCAAGGAGGAGGAGGAGGAGGAGGAGGAGGAGGAGGAGGAGGAGGAGGAGAGGAGGAGGAGGAGGAGGGAGGAGGAGGAGGAGGAGAGGAGGAGGAGGAGGAGGAGGAGGGGGAGGGGGGCGGGGGAGGCTTCCCTCTCGTCGGGCCCTGGCTGGACCTGGTGACGTCGGAGCAGCGGGTCGCAGCGGCGCTGAAGCCTCGCCGACCTTCGCGCCACCTTGGGCCTGGCCCGAGCGACCAGGCTTGACGCGCTGGCACGTGTGGTCCCTCGACTCGTCGGCCCCCTGCGGTCTGGCTCGTCCCCAGGAGAAGGCCGTACACGGCACGAGCCGGAACCCCTCCCATCCCCCGGTGGACCACCGCCCATCCGCATCCACTCCGCAGGCCCAGTTGGGCCAGTTGGGCCAGGGCCCAGGAGCAGATCCCCGAGCTTCCTCTCGGCAGGCGGGGAGGAACGGCTGCGGGTGCCTCGGGGGCCCAGCGGAACGCTGCAGGAGGTCCCGACGTCCTTGCCCAAGCTCGTCACGCCGCCCCTATCCCGGGGCGGCAGGCCCCTGCGCGCCTCGGCGCCCGGCAGCAGCGGGTAAAGCGTTGTGGAAACCGAGTCGTGGAGAGGAAGCAGGCTGCCAAATAAGTTCAAGATGGCTAAAGCATGTGTCTGACATGCTTTAAACATGTAAAAACATGCCGGGAACTTTTTTAAAACATGTTTTACACATGCCAAACACATTTTTTAATGCAATGATAGGGTTGTTCGAGTGTCCGCTGTCACGGCATCCTCAAGCAAAGCGCCGAGAAGCGGCGGCCCACCGTCCCCTCGAGGCTGGGAGCAGCACGATCGGAAGGAGGCCAGGCGGGCGAGCCAACCGGCTTCCTGGAGCACGGTCCGTTCGCGTCGTGTCGACCGGCGGTGACCCCGCCGCGGGCGTTCGAGGTTGAACGCCGCCAGTGGCCCAGAATCGGCCTCTAGGGAATGATCGGGCGATCGAGGAGCCGCCGATCGTTCCAGGCTGGACGATCCACGCGGTGTCAGAAACCAACGCCGTGGTCGTCACGACGCGAGCCTGCCAAGGTGCTTCGGCACCGACGTGCAGCCACCTGGCCACGGCGTGCGAAGACCTCCTGCCATCTGCACCCGCACCGCCGCCCTGCCCCGCCGGGTGGTTAGGGGCGCAGCTCGCGTCCAGCCCTCCTCGCCGCCGTCCAGGTGCTAGCCGAGGTGTGGCAACAGCCGACGGGGCCGCCGACGCTGAGAAGCTTCTCTCAACGGGCGACACGTGCAGCAAGGACAGGACGAGCCCCTTCGTCAGACCCGATGATCGTGATGCTGAACATGTCCCAGCCGACCCGCCGCAGAGACAGCCAGGAGACCGCCAGTGGACCACGAGCCCCTATGCCGACTCGGAACCACCTGCCGCCAGCGAACTTGCAACACCCGCCACGCGCGCTCCAGGCGGCCCTGCTTGATCCCCTGGTCTGAGACGAACCCCAGTTCATAGACGATGCTGCCAGTGGCCTCGAACACGGGATCCAGCCACTGCTCGCGTTGAGCGGAGAGAAAGACCGTATGGTTCGCCCCATCCGAAGGTGCACCATACGCTGCCGCCGCCGTCTGACGGAGGGGATGGAGCTCAGGATCTGGCATTCCAGCAGAGAAGGATAATGAAGGAGGAGAATGAGGAGGAGGAGGAGGAGGAGGAGGAGGAGGATGAGGATGAGGATGAGGATGAGGATGATGATGATGATGATGATGATGATTGATGATGATGATGATGATGATGATGATGATGATGAGGAGGAGGAGGAGGAGGGGAGGAGGGAGGAGGAAGGAGAGAGGAGGAGGTAGGGAGAGAGGAGGGAGGGGGGAGGGAGGAGGAGGAGGAGGAGGAAGACAGGGAGAGAGGGAGGGAGAGAGGGGGGGGAGGCAGGGAGGGAGGGAGGGAGGGAGGGAGGGAGGAAGGGTGAGGAAGAGGAGGAGGAGGAGGAGGAGGAGGAGGAGGAGGAGGAGGGCGGAGGAAGAGGATGAGTTTCAGGGGCCTCCTCTGTCGGTGACGACGACAATGATGCTGCTGCTGCTGCTGCTGATGATGATGATGATGATGATGATGATGCTGATGCTGACGATGATGATTATGATGGTGGTGATGATGATGCTGATGATGATGCTGATTCTGATGATGATGATGATGATGATGATGATGATGATGATTATGGTTATGATGATGATGATCATGCTGCTGATGATGACGATGATGATGACGATGATGATGATGGTGGTGGCGGTGATGCTGATGATGGTGAAGGTAATGATGGTGATGGTAATGATGGTAATTCCGATGATGCTGCTGCTGCTGCTGATGATGATGATGATGATGATGATGATGATGATGATGATGATGATGATGATGATGATGATGATGATGTTGCTGATGATGCTGATGATGATCGTGGTGGTGGTGATGATGATGAGTATGAAGATGCTGATGATTACGATGCTGATGGTGGTGGTGGCGGTGGTGGTGATACTGGTGGTGGTGAGGATGCTGCTCCTGCTGATGATGCTGACGATGCTGTTGATGATGATGCTGATCATGATGCAACATATATGGTACTGTCAATGATGACGATGATGATGAGGATGCTGATGATGATGACGACGATAACGATGGCGATGACGATGATGATTATGCTGATGCTGCTGATGATGATGATGATGATGTTGATGATGATGATGATGATGACGATGCTGATACAGGTGCTGCTGATGCTGATGCTGCTGATGATGACGATGATGCTGCTGATGATGGTGATGATGATGCTGCTGGTGCTGATGATGATGGTAGTGATGGTGATGGTGGTGGTGATGATGATGACGATGCTGATGACGATGATGCTGATGCTGATGCTGATGATGATGATGATGCTGATGATGATGATGATGATGATGATGATGATGATGATGATGATGACGGTGATGATGCTGATGATGTTGATGATGCTGATGATGATAGCGACGATGATGATGATGCTGATGCTGATGCTGATGCTGATGCTGATGCTGATGATGATGATGATGATAATGATGCTGCTGATGATGATGCTGTTGATGCTGTTGATGCTGATGACGATGGTGGTGGCGATGATCATGCTGAGGGCTCTGATTGTGATGGTGACGGTGATGAGAATTCTGATGCTGATGCTGATGCTGATGCTGATGCTGCTGCTGCTGATGGTGAAGATGATGATGATGATGATGATGATGATGATGGCTGATGCTGCTGATGCTGATGAGCTGAGTATGATGATGATGATGATGATGATGATGATGATGATGATGATGATGATGATGATGATGAGGAGGAGGAGGAGGAAGGAGGAGGAGGAGGAGGAGGAGGAGGAGGAAGAGGGCCAGGAGAAAGGATACTGACGCTGTTTTCCGGCAAGTGAGGAGGAGGAGGAGGAGGAGGAGGGGCAGGCCGAGGAGGAGGAAGAGGAGGGTGCGGGCGAAGACAAGCACGAGGAACACCAGCACATGGCACAGATGGCGCAGCTGCGGCATTTGCAGCAGCAGCTGCTGGTGCAGCAGATGACGTACCAGCAGGCGGTGATGAGCCCCTCGCAGCACGGGCAGCTGCAGGCCGGCTGCGCACCTCCCCATCCGCCGACCCTCTCCCTCCCTCCTCGCCAGAGGAGAGGCCCATGGTCTGGTCGCTCCTCTCTCCTCCCTCCTCCTTCCTCCCTCTTGGCGCTCCCTTTCGCCTCCTCCCGACTCCCCGCGCGCCCGCGTCCTCCTTCGTCCTTTATCTCCTTCGTCCTCCTCCCTCGGCATGGCGCGGCGGTTTGCCCTCTGGCTCCGAGGGGGGTAGTTCCCCCCCGTTCCTGGGATGCGAGGGATCTAAGTCTAAGCCCCCTAACCGCCTAATCGCCTGCTCCCTCTTCCCTCCTCCTCCTCCTCCTCCTCCTCCTCCTCCTCCTCCTCCTCCTCCTCCTCCCGTTAGCTGGCCCAGGCCTCCAGCACGTCCGGCGAGTGGGTCAACGCCGTGCTCGCGGCCGCGCCGTACATGGACGCGGAGAGGTTGAAGAAGGCGTCAGTGACATCTCGTTTTCGTCGGCCTGCCCCTCTTCCTCCATTCATCCTCCTCTTTTTATCCTTCCCTTCTTCCCTCATTCACCCAGTCCCTCCTTCCCCTCTCCTCCACTTCCTCATTCCCCCTTCTCTGTGTCGCCGTCTTTTGTCGTCTTCGTCTTTCTCCTTCCTCTTTCTCTTCCTCTTCCTCCTCGTCTGCGGCGTCGTCGTCGTCCTCCTCCTCCTCCTCGTCCTCCTCCTCCTCCTCCTCCTCCTCCTCCCCCTCTTCCTTCGCACGCTGGAAAGGCTTTGGCAATCTTGGACAAGGCGGTCAGCAACCTCCAGCAGATCAAGGCGCTCGACGGCATCATCGCGAGCACGTACATGGTCAGACGGAGGAACAGGAGGAGAAGGAGGAGGAGGCGGAGGGGTGAGGAGCAGCAGCGGCGAGGAGGAGGAGGAGGAGGGCGGGAGAAAGGGGAGGATAATAGGCTGGAGTGTGGGGGGGGAGCAAGAAAGGGGGATGAAGGGATGTCGGCAAGGAGGGGAATCAAGATGACGATACTGATGATAATACTGCTGACGAATCTGCTGATGCTGATGGTGACGATGATGTTGATGATGATGCTGCTGATGACGATGGTGGAGGTGATGATGATGCTGATGCTGATGATGTTGCTGACGATGAGGATTATGCTGATGCTGCTGATGATGCTGATGATGCTGATGAGGATGCTGATGCTGCTGTTGTTGTTGCTGATCATGCTGGTTACGATGTTGTTGATGTTGATGCTGATGATGATGTCGATGATGCTGATGATGTTGATGATGACGACGACGATGATGGTGATGGTGATGACGGCGGCGATGGTCACGATGACGATGCCGCTGACGATGATGATGATGATGATGATGATGATCATGATGATGATGATGATGATGCTGATATGATGATGATGATGATGATGATGATGATGATGATGATGATGATGATGATGATGATGATGATGATGATGATGATGATGATGCTGATGACGATGATGATGGTGGTGATGATGATCCTGATGATGCTGATATGATGATGATGCTGCTGCTGATGATGATGCTGATGAAGCTGATGATGGGAAGATGCGGAAGAGGATGGGACGAGGAGAGGATGGGGACGAGGAGGTGGAGGAGGAGGAGGAGGATGACTAGGAAGAGGAGGACGATGGCGTGGAGTAGGAGGAGGAGGAGGAGGAGGAGGAGGAGGAGGAGGAGGAGGAGGAGGAGGAGGAGGAGGAGGAGGAGGAGGAGGAGAGGCTGGGGGCATCTTCACTGCGATGCCCCACCTTCACGCGGCGGAGCACATGAAGGCGCAGGTCTTCGAGAAGCAACAGGTCATCCTGTTCCTCTTCTTGACCCTCACACCTCCCTCTGCTTGTCACCCCCCCTTATTCCCCTCTCTCTTCTCTTTATTGCTCTCGTTCCTCCTTCCCCTCCGCCTCCCTCTTCTTCGTGACCATTTTGGATCAATGCCACCAGACTCCAGGAAATTGACTCAAGCAATTCCCGACCTAAGCCATCGCGAGGGCAGCGACTCTGGATGCCCATGGAGGACAATGGGTAGATCCGTTGCTACGTTCTCAGCATCAGCACGGTAATAATGCGGCACGCACATCCACACACGCGTCGAGAACATTCCAGGTGGTGTTCGCAGATGGTCGTGTTATGACTGCGTCGACCACGCTTGTATACAGTGCCACAGCGGCAGTCGCAGTCGTATCGTGAATGCGGCCGGTGCCGCCGACCCTGTGCAGGACCTCCTCCGGGACCCCAGGGCCCCGGGGCCAGGGCCGGGGCCGGGTCGCCCGGGGCCAGTGGCCAGGCGACAGGGTGGGGGCCGGGGCTGGGACCAGCGCCGGCCCTCCCCCACAGGGAGCGACCCCATTTTGTCCCTTGTCCACAGGTGGGACCACCCCTCGGGACGCCCATGGGGCGGTGATCTGGCCCGCGACCTCCCTAATTACCCCTCCTCCGTACCCCCGGTGTGATTGTTTGTCTGGGGACTTGTCTAAGATCCAGGGAACCAGTTCAGATAGGAAGACTTTATAGTTGCAGAGGCAAGTGGGATCAGAGGTAGATCAGAAGATATGTGACTGCAAGAACTCTGGCTCAGGACGAGTGTATTACGCGCACCAAAGGCTCCAATTTGGTAGCGGAGCGATCGCTCTCTACCTTCTGCGCGCGGCCCTTCCGCGTGCGCGCGGTGCCGGCCAGGCGCCATCACCGAGGAGACGATCTTCGGCTCACGCTGATCTGCGCTACTCCGTGACTGCCAGCCTGGAGAAAGCCAGCACCTTTATGTCGGAGGTGCCCGAGCAGATCAAGTTTTCCAGAACGTCAGTGTCTTCGAGGTTTTCGTGGAGATCATCTTCTTCACCACCGGCAGCCGACTGGCTGCGCAGTTCTGCTTCGCTGATTTGTCCATGGGCTATTGCAGGAAAGATGGCGGGCTCCAGAGTGCCACATAATCTACAAGAGTCCACACGACTCATACCGCCAGCATGGCGGTCCTGCGACGACAGCTGCCCCTTCAAGGCCTACGTGCAGCGGCTTCACCTCCGGTGGCGGCTCACGCCGACAGAAGAGCGAGAGGCTGGCCGGGGTATGGCATCGCGTCTGCTGGACCAGGCCTTCACGGTTGCCGTGAGCCTGGAGGTGGAGCGCGACGGAGTGAATCGGCCACGCGCAGAGGGGGGTAGGGGGAGGGGGGAAGGCTTCTTAGAAGCACCCCTGCTTCTTAGAAGGCGCGGGCCGTATCTATAGATGCAAGGCCGGCGCATCCTAAGAAGCAGCCTGCGTCTAAGAAGCCCTCCCCCCTCCCCCCACCCCCTTGTGCGCGCCGTCAAGTGAAATTGCTAGAAACTCTGGGTTAGTATTCAAATTCTGAGACTCTGAATTTCTTAACCCATGATTTCTTAAACATTTCGCAGGGTGTAGATTTGTGGAAGTCGGTTTATGGAGAGGGAGCGTGCTGCCAGATAGTTGCCAGATGTCTGAAGACGGGCGGCGGTGCCCCGGCCCTGCCGCGGCTCGACGAAGAGCGAGCTGCAGCTGGCCGTCTCGCGCAGGCTTCGGGGGCCACAAGCGAACCCTGCCCCTACCCCCCACGATTTCTGAGGGGGAGGGTGGGGTTCACTTCTTTCGGGAGGTCACGAGCGAAGTGAACCCCACCCTCCCCCTCAGAAATCGTGGGGGGTAGGGGCAGGGTTCGCTTGTGGCCCCCTAAGGCTGCAGCGCGGGGCACCCGCTGCAGAAACTTACCGAGGCATGTGAACTGCATGGTCGAGACTCAGATAAACAAGGAGAGCTTCTCGATACAGTGGGGGCGCGCATCAAGAAGCCATATGCTTTTCATCAGGGCATCCTGGGTTTCTTCGCTCCGCGCGCCGTGTGGAGACCTCCCACGGCCGTTGAAGGAGCTGCTGCGTTCAAGGTGCTCCAGGTTTCCCCTCCGGTGCACCTCGCGCGCAGGTTTTCAGGGTTGGGTTTCTTGCGGGGGGTTCTTGCGGCCGCGCTCGCACTGTATATTCCCTGATTCCTGGCGAAGCAATCAGACGTTGCAGGAGTTTCTTTTCAACTTCAAAGAGCGTTGTGGCGGGCTTGACGACAAGCACTGTTGGATGGACCCATATGATGTCTAATGGTGTGGATTGTCGACGCGTCGTTTCGCACATATTAGATTGCGCATTGACGGATATTCTTTATGTTGTCAAAAAGTGCGAAGCAGGAGATGCCGACAGGATCCTCGAGCCACAGCTGTGCTTGTGATGGAGACGAGAATCTCCAACACCATGGGTTGGATTTGTATCGGGACTGCGAAGCAGCATGCTTGATCGATTTGACATACGACGGCGAGAGCGGCCTACATGATCGAGAATAATGCACAAAGCTAATCAGGCCGATTAGATCGAAGCATAGCTGACTGAAGTGAATCTTTGCCATGCATGTAAAATGTCTGGCTTTCGACTTCGATATCGTTTAGGAGACAATTACCGCATAAACGGAAAGGGCAAACATTGCGGCAGAGTGCGGAAGGATAAATGAAATTATGCACCAGGACGTGGACGAGGCGATCGACAGTGCAGGACACTACTATGACGACCAACGGTCTCATTGGAACAGAAGCGGCACGCAAGGTGGACCCCGAAACAAACCACCCTTCGGCGGAACACCCCAGGACTGCCCTGCGAACAGGCAGAGCCCGACGCAAAACAGTTTGACGAGCTCATCTTAGAGAGCGGCAGGACATGGATCCACCGCATCAGAGAGGTCGGCTGCCCAGAATGATGTTTGCCTGAACTTGTGCGCGCATGGAGACCTGCCATGGGAAGAACCATGCTCTGCATCATCGGCGCCATCAGCAAGTTCGTGGCACTTTCCTGCTACTCCAAAGTATGTGACGGCCTCGGGATACGACGACGCAGCAGCAGACGCACCCTGCCAAGTTGGTCAAGGCTGTCCCATCTATCATATGGATTTCGGTGACTACGACTACTCACCTTCACGGGGCGAGCCGGCAGCTGATGAGGACTCATATGATGAAGAGTGGGATTCATGTATTTTCTGACGCTCTCGTACAGCAAGTGCGAAAGGCAGCAGAGGACAGTGGTCTCGAGATCATCTCACCGAGCGCAGCTCGATTTGTCTCTTGATGTGGGACAAGACACGGATCCCGATAGTCGACGAGGTGTCGCGATGCAAGGTAGCCGCGGGATTCTCAGATCGGACACCGAAGCAGCTACTGTCCACGATTCTGCGCTTGTGGGTTCGATATTTTGGACCAGTGCAGCCTATGGTTTCCGACCAGGAAGGAGGCCTGGTTTCGGAGTCTTCATCGCGGATGTGTGACGAGCTCAACATTGAGAGGCGCTATGCCGGCACAGACGAGCGCGCCGTGGCCGTTCTGGTCGAGAGATGGATCCAGCTGGTGAGGTTTTGCGCCGCGGGGCCCCATCGGGCGCGCGCCGTGCAGGGTTGCGGTCTCCGACGCAGATGTGGTTCAGGAGGCCGTCATGGTATCCGATGGCATGGTGAGCTGCGGTGGCCAGACAGCCACTCAGGTAGTTTTGGGCTTCGCGCCGAACGACTACTCTGACCTGGAGGCCGCCGCGGCCGTGAGGCTTCGTTTTGTTGCGAGGTCTGAGATGGCTGGAGCGATTATCGAGGACAGCGTCGCAAGGGCCGACGGGACTCGGGTGCAGCAGCGCGGATCAGAACAGTAGTTGAATGCAGGATGTCAAGTCGACGTCTCCGCGCCCCTGAACTCAAGGGCCAGTCGGCGTGGAGAGGCCCGGCGGCGCTCGTCGAGATCTCGGAAGGCGCCGCCGTCTCCGCGAGGAGCGGAGTGCCGTGCGTCGTGCGAGTGCGATGTCCGAGGGGTTACCCGGTCAGCTTCCACGTCTACCAACTGGGCGCTGCCGCGTCATCCCCCGCGAGCGACGCGAAGGATGTGCAGCTGATCGACGCCTTCTTCAAAAGGTCCCCAGACATCATCGACGGCGCGACAGACGGACAGCTCAACCGACTGGGCGAGAGTGTCAGCGCAGAAGGCAATGCCATTTCTTCAGCAGGCCGTTAGACATTCGTGAACATGCAGCCGTGGAAGTTGTGCATCATGACGTATCAGAAATCAGTGAAGTGAAGGATTCTCGATGGAGTACTGTGCGGAACTTCGCTACCGAGGATGCTTGCGCTGTGTGGGGTACGATAAGGCCTGATAGTAAGATGGGGCAGGTCCGACCGCGCGGACTACCTTGTCTGGGAGGTCGACCCGAGAACAGACATTGTGATTAAGAATTTGGTCAACCTTGCCTGGGGGGCAGCCTCGTTCCTGATTTTCTACCTTCTGCCGCCGCAAGTGGCCCCCTTCCTGGGCGAACATCGTCGCCCGAACATCGACGACCTCTCCAACATCGCAGGCGCTCCCAGCACGCTTGGCTCGACTGTGGACGTCGGCGGCGGCGTGGCCTAGATGGTCGGCCTTTTGCTGGGTGACGCGCGGACCTGGGCCACTGGGCGACAGCTATCAGTGGCGGGGGGGCCCAGCTCGACGCTGTCCAGGCCTCGTCGCATCGGCTCAGTGCGCGGGCCACATCGGGGGCGTCATCAGCCCGTCATAGACGATCCTTCTGGAGATGTTGCAGATCTGTCGGGGGCCTTGAGCGACGTCGTCGGCCGTCGGCCGTTGCTTGCGATGGCTCCTGCGCCGCGACGACGCCCTGGCCGAACAGGCCGCGGACATCCGATAGCATATCAAGAACTTCCTTCTGGACCAGGTCTACGGGGATATGGTCGTGCAACGAGGGCCTGATGAGCCGTCGCCATCGGCAGACGA